TTGACAACCTTGTTTCTTGTGAATATCTATATCACACTCGCATGGATTTTTTTAAATCAATAATCAGATGGATACTGCGGCTCGGCCGAAAAACGTAATCCCACAGCTCCCAATGGCCACACGCTTTTAGCTTCACAGATATTGCTTTGCTCAGAGCAAATCCTGTAATTATTATGAATCATTGATGTGACTTTTCAGCTTTTGATGGGACATGGTAGAGAATTGATCTTTGTATGTATGCTACTTCCTATGATGGTCGTCCCCTGTCGCGCATTAAAGATGTTTGTTGTGTTTTATGAGACCTTAAAAACATGTAGGCAGCATGTATTCTGTTTAACAGCATGCTGATAAATGTCTCCACAAATTCTAAGTGACCTTTAAAATATATCTTGAAATATGAGTTATTGTTTTTTTGGTCTGAAGTGGTGTTTCCTGTTCTTTGTGTGTCCCTTTTAGTGACGGGCCCATCATATGACGCCATGGTGACTGAGATGATGCTTATGGGATACGAGAGGGAGCAGGTGGTGGCCGCTCTGAGAGCGAGCTTCAACAACCCCGACAGAGCGGTGGAGTACCTGCTCACGGTGAGAGCAGTGTGTGGTCTGTGGCAAATGTGTCTTAGAGTAAATTGCTGGATCATGTAAATGAAGTGCCTTTTGAGTATGTAAGTTTTAGTCTACCTGCCAGTGACCTTCAGGACAAATGTTCCACCCTTAATAATCCGAATCCTGAAATGTCACCTAATAACACAGAAGTACAAGCAGTTATGTGACATCAATATACCGTAATTTTCGGACTATAAGCCGCGCCTTTTTTCCCATTTTTCGATGCTGCGGCTTATATAACGGTGCGGCTAATCTATGGATTTTTACAGCTAACGGTCACCACCTTTAACTCTATGGGCTCTATGGCCAGTCCGCGGACCCACACCTTTAAGCGGCGGGTTCCAGCGGGAAAAGCTGGAGGCCGGAAAAGAGTGAGACAGGTAGCGCGCAAAAGTAAAAGTGGAACCGAGAGTGGTACGAGAGACAGAACGAGAGCAAGACAGACAGACATTACGAGAGCGAGACAGTTTGTCCCCGTACCACTGGTTGAAAACCGCTGCTGTAGATCACTGCCGGTACGTGCGCTGGGAGCGCACCGTTTAAGTTTGAAAGTTGAAAAGTTTGTGTGTCTGAAACGCTATGTGATACAGTACAGTTTACACAGCACAGTACATGTTCTGTAGCTACTATTGCACTAAATGCTAACACTTGAATACGTTATGCAAATATGCAACTTGTTTGTTGAAATGTTAATAAATGGGAGCTTCCTCAAACAGCCATCTCTTTCCCGACAATCCCCTCTGTGCACGAACCCTTACATATGGTAATTAAACATTAAAACACCTGCGGCTTATAGTCCAGTGCGGTTTATATATGTACACATCATTCAATTTAGCTGCTGCGGCTTATATTCAGGTGCGCCTTATAGTCCGAAAATTACGGTACTGTGTTATAATATATTGAATCTTTTTTTTCTTCCAGGGTATTCCAGGCAGAGATTCAGGCCTTGCAGCGGTAGTTCCTCCAGTGAGTGGAGTGTCTTCTGCACCCATAGGTGGCATTAGCCTTCCTGCCAACACTGGATCTTCACCAAGTGCTGGAGGAGGTACGCTGCCCTTACTATTCTTCATTTTTCAACAGCCTTATTAAACCAATATTTCTTTTGTATTTAATATTCTATGTGTCTGGCTTTTTGCTGCTCAACGTCTAACTAACATGTCATTGTTTCAGGCAACCCCCTGAATTTCCTCAGGAATCAGCCCCAGTTCCACGTGATGCGTCAGCTGATCCAGCAGAATGCCGCTCTGCTTCCTGCGCTGCTGCAGGAGATCGGCAGGGAGAACCCCGAGCTGCTGCAGGTGTGGGGGGGGGGAGGCTCAACACAGCTCTGATTAAATGAGTTCATGGTCACAGCAAACACTGATTTTACAGATCAAGATTACATCATGAAGAGTATTACTCAGTCTTTGAAAACAGTTGTACAGTATCCTGAGCTTTGTTGGACAAACATTATCTCAGTGTGGACTTGAGACTGATGAAGCCTTAAAATCAGTTAGAAGTCAGGATTTAGACTTTTTGAGGGGGGAAGTCGACCTAGTTTTTATTTGCGTATTATTTTTTGTTTTGAATATTACTCTCCGCGTCTAAACTTTTCATTTCCGTTGCAGGAGATCAGCAGCCACCAAGAGCAATTCATTCAGATGCTGAATGAACCCAACACAGAGGCGGTGCCGGCGGGGGGTGCAGGAGGAGCGGGGGGAGCCGGGGGGACTGCAGGTGATGCGGCAGGCGGGAGTCAGATGAGCTACATCCAGGTCACGCCACAGGAGAAAGAGGCCATTGAGAGGGTGAGGCACCGTCACTTAGATCTGCTAAAACTATCTTTTTTTTAGATCTAGTTGAAGCTGTTTGGCTAACGTGCATCTCTCCTCTCTCCTCTCTTATTGCAGCTAAAAGCTTTAGGGTTTCCAGAAGGACTCGTTATACAGGCGTACTTCGCCTGCGAGAAGAACGAGAACTTGGCGGCCAACTTCCTTTTACAACAGAACTTTGAAGATGATTAGATCGTCGTTTGGACCTTTTTCTTATTCCTTCTTCTACTTTTTGATTGCTTCATATGTGTTCAACAAGCCTTATACATTTCCAAGATAAGTCAAATGTGTACTCGTAACACTGGATCATTATCAGCTGGTGAACAAGAACAGGCTGTAGTTGGTGATCAGTTATAATGGAGGAACAATTCAAGTACAATACTTTTGCATCAGAAATCCCTTTTTTTAAACTTTAGTTAATGATTATAGTTTGCAAAATGTGTCACATTATAAATGCAGTTTGTTCGGGGCAGATCCGACAGTATTCATGCACTCTTATTGTTCTGTTTTTTTTAAGTTGACATGTAATGGAGATTTGAAAAATTAAAGCTGTGCACAACAAACATGCATTGCACTGGTTCTTATTCCACATCAGTCATCTGCATTGACATCAAAAGTCTGGAGAAGTGTTCTAAACATGTATATACTTTACATGCATGTGGTCGGGTTAAGTTTCAATGACTTTAAACGGTCAAATAAAGACTTCAAAGTAAATATAAGGACTGCCTTTCCTGCTGTGATTATATAGAGTGACTTAAATATGAAGTCCGAAGGAGAAGCTTAACATTAAACACTTTGTAGTAAACTGTTCCTATGCGGTATTGAATTTCATTTTTCGGTGTTGACGCAGTCGATCATATTTATTTTTTGTTTCCTGGTACATAAACCTCCCCTCTATTTATGTAGGGGTTACAAGTATAGAGTTATTTAAATGTACATTACAGAAAGTGAATAACTGCACTTTCAAGCCTTGTAGCTTGAATACAATGATGTGCATTGCCTCCATGTTTGGGTTAGATGGATTTGTACTGCCTGAGCTACATTACTTAGCCACAATCTTCAGCTGTTATTTGGCTATATTAAAGTGTGCATTCATCTTGGAGTCAATATATTGGTAGGTTATGACTTAAAAAAAGGACCAGAATTGAATCATCATTAAATTCATGTATGTAACTGTTAAAGTTTACTCTTAAAAGTAGAGAAGGATTCAGTTGCACGTGCGCCTTTCAGTGTCATTACATTACATATTAGACGCTTTTATCCAAAGCGACTTACATACTCAGGAGCAATTTGGGGTGAAGTGTCTCGGACACAACGACATGCTGACTGCAGTGGGGTTTAAACCTGTGACCCCCTGATCCCAACACCAACGCACTAGTCCACTGCGCCACACGCCTCCCAGATAGGACTCAAAATAAGATGTTTTGACTTAACAAGATGATGCATTGTCATCTGCATGCAACCCCCTGCTTATATTTGATAAGTTACCTCAGGGTTGTTAATGCACGCCAACATCTAGAATTATCTTTACAGTCCTAAAAAGGGACTTTCCTCAATTTAAGAATAAAAGCTGAAGACGAGCCCTGAGAGTTCAAACTGAAGCGACCTGTAGGGGGCAACAGAGACCAGAGCATGTCTCAGAGTGAGCTGTTTGTCACGACATGAGAGAATATCAGAGGTGTATTTGTTATTTTGACCGTGTATGAGGTTAATGTAGCAACATTTATTTTAATTAATTAATAGTTTAAGTATAATGGTGTCTTCACTTTACTGGCTCACTTAAGTCACAGTTTAAATACATATTTAAAAAATGCATGTATACATACAGTATGTCCTGCTCCTTTTTTAAAAAGCATTTATCACTACTACTAATACGTTATTTGTTTAGCGTGTGTGATACAATTGTAAGACTTGTTTTGTGACATGTTATGTTGCCATTATGTACAGTAGGATTATATGAACATGAAATAAATAGATAAGTGTTCATTCCACATCAGCACTTCAGATTCAAAATAATTTGAAAGTTTACTAATCAACAAGAGGTTTGTCTTGTTTTTTACCAAATCATGACCTATAGTTCTGTTAAGAATCAAGTGAGGAAAAAACATAACTATTAACATCGGTAAAGCATTATGCAAATAACCTTAAATATTATAATGCACAGTTTTGTTGAAACAAAGCATATAGCTGGATACATTACATGATGCACAATCTCCCTGCTGCTTCTTTGACTTTATTTCATGTTGTGCTCCAGAGAGCTTCAGCAGATTTGGTGTCATCTCTGAATGTCAGCCAGTAACTCGGTTGTCCTCCTATTCTTCCCCCTGACAGGTGAAAAGAGAACCCCATGGAAACAGGACATTGTGGGAGAGGCTTTTAAAATCTTTTTAACGGCAACATTGTGATAGTTTGCCTGAGGCGATACAGCTATTATCATGGGGGATATTGTGTATGAGCTTAGCTGCCATTTAAATACTTCTCCATTACACTTCCAGGGAAATACAGGAGGATATTTGCTTGAAGAGTATAAAGTTCATTGTTGCTTTCTTATTTCAAATACATTTTATTTTAATATAGTGTAAAATACAAAACATTAACAAAGCATTTTTATTTACAAATGTACAAAATGCAAGATTATATTACATATTTTGGCTATAAACAAAAATCGTTTTGTTCAGAGTTACTCATTCAATACAAAAATATGAATGTCTCACATAAATTATTGCACTTCGCAACTGCAGTGCATTGAAGATTGCCATCACCATATAAGTGAAGTGTTCACCTGATTTAAGTCAGATTGTGGAGGAGAGGTTTCTGAGAAGCACACAAACAACCATATGGCACTTTTCATAGTGTTCACCCTTTTTCTATATTTTCCTTAGTCTTTGGTACCTTTCTTTAATAAAAACAACTTTCTTCAGAGTCACTGAGCACCCTTCTCTATAAATTAACATTGTACCTGAAATCTATGGAATTGCAGGTGAAATGTGTATATAAATATAGATGTCTTTATTAATACAGTATTTGGAACAGTGTGTAGTTGATAAGAGCCTATATTGGCATGCTGCTGGTGTAAGGCCTCTGGAGATGTTTGTCTGTTGCTCCTGGTTTCCCTGACAGAAATACACTTCCAGTTAAAAAGCTGTTGGCACCTGGTCCTCCAAGTTTTGTCGGTTAAATAAGACAAATTCCAGTTTGGTCCCTTTCATAAAAGTTTACAACCCTGACAAAAAGCTCTTTTCAAGTCAACTGCACACCCTCTGTTTATGCTGTGAACACCACAGCTTGTCAGGTTGCTTGACAACGGCTTGAAGGCAAATTATGTTTTTGGTAAAACTGGTAAAGTCAGGGGTTGTTTCTAACATATTTGTGTTTTTCATTGGAGCCTTCATACATCGCCAAGTCTCATAAGTGTCTCTTCATATGTAGAGCGAGGTGGTCTGACCTTGAGAAGGCCCGGTCACATTTCTGACATTGAAACGGCCGGTGGCCCGTGTGTTTCCTGTAGTGACGTGTGAGCTCGTCTGAACGTGCAAACTTCCAGCCGCAGCCCTCCCAGTCGCAGTGGTAAGGCTTCTCCCCTTTAATGGAAAACACAATACACACATGGAGCAGTTAGTGAAGTTACACCGGCTCAACCTCCCTTCACCCCCCCTCCAGGAAAAAAGAGGTCCGGGCTGTCCAACAGCTAGTGTATAAAAGGCCAAGCTAATACGCCTGGGGTTTGTATTTGAGCAGGGATCAGTGTCAACCTGTTTCACAGCACCTGCCAAACAAGTCCCCTCCCCCCGACCCATATAATACCCATTCAAGACTTGATAATCCACTGTTTGTTTTGGGTATTAATTAGCTCTGAACAATGTAAACAGTAGGAAAAAGCTGCATTAAACAGTTAGTTAAAATAATATACTTTTCTCTTTTTAAGAATATAAAAAGCTGCCTGCATGTGTCATCCTTTATTCAAACCAGATACAAATGGCTGACAGAAACATACAGTTCATACCTGTGTGTGTGCGGTGGTGTGCTTTGAGGTGGGAGCTCTTAGTGTACGTTTTCCCACAGCCAACATAGTCACAAGTGTGTGAGGCGACTCTCTTCCTCGGCCAGGAGCGCCTGCCGCGTTTGGGCTTTGGTTCCTCCGGTAAGTCCCCGCTGGAGATCATGAGGGGATCTGTGGGGTCAAAACATCATCGTCATCATCACGGTACCAATATTCAGGGCTTAAGTACTTCAACAACAAGGATGATCATTTTTGAAAGAGAACATTTGATCACAAACGCATACTTCGGTATATTGTAGTAGAGTTGCAATATGTCTCTTTAAATTATATAACTATTTTACTTTGAGGTACATCAAGATGGAACATAACATCCTAAAATCATTTTTTAAAGTTGAAAGTGTGAAAAGTAAACGTAAAGGGACACAACAATAGAAAATGAATACTGATCCTATAATAACAAACAGATATCTGGTATGTTTTGTTTGACATCTGTTAATCTCCTTTTATGGGTGGTTGATATTTAATTGCTCTTTTTGCTGCATTTTTAGTGCAGTCAAATTATTATTATTATGCTGCTGTGTTTATTGTATTTTTGTAACAACAAGATCCTTCGGGATGAATAAAGTCTTATCTTATCTTATCTTTAAAGAACTTTATGATGAAAACAAAGTGTGTTGGACAAGACCATGGCATGTAGGTTTCAATCCAAACTTCTTATAATTAAAGCCCTAAAGGAAGAATATAATAAGATGTATTTTACTCGGATCTCCAGACTTTATATCCCTGCTATCTAAACCGCCATGTGAGTTTTTTCATCCCACATTTAAGTCACTGCATTAGTAGCTGTAATAGATTACAATAAGGGTATAAAGACGTTCTAAATAATGAGGAAAATAAACGCGTTCTGACCTTGGTACTGCAGGGAGGAGGGCTGAGGGAAGGAGGTGTAGCCCTGCGGGGAGCTGTGGTGGTATCCCTGGGGGGGGATCTGAGCGTGGGGGTGTCCCAGGATCTGGTGCTCCCGGCTGAGAGGATGGTCCGGTGAGAGGGACGAGGACGAGGATAACCTGCCGCCTGTCATGGATCTCCCCCCGCCTGGGAAGTCATGCAGCTCCAGCTGGCAGGGGCGCTGCTGCTGGCCCCCCCGGCCCATGTGTAGGTCGATGGGCTGCGAGATGGTGCAGTTACTGAGGTTCTCCTGCTTTATCCTGTGGCATGCAAAGGAAGGCGAGACACGAGGAGGAGTGGGGTCTGACACCGCAGCCACGCAGGCTTTGCTTACATTCAAGCCTTGGCTGTATTCCCCCATGTCCATTGTTGTCTTTACCACAAATTTGCCATGTAGGCTGGTGGGGTGGAGGTATGCCGGGTCCAACTCGGGTCTCATGAGCTCTGCCACAAAGCCTCCAGAGGGCGAGACGTCGCTGATGTCTGGGATGGTGTAAAGGAGGTCACTGGAAGTGTCCTGAGGGGAGGGGAGAGGGTAGGATGAGGAGAAAGAGCTGGGGGAAGGAGACAGAGTCTGGGCAGAGCTGCATGCCTCCTCCTGCTGCTGCTGTTGTTGTTGCTGTTGTTGTTGCTGCTGCTGTAGGATAGAGTTAGAAAGAATAAAGTCGTAGTCCAAGTCCAGGTCAGGTTCTTCTTTCAAGGACATGCTGGGGCTCGTTGTGCTGGTGGCAGTGGGACGATCTGGGTCCGAGCGGCTGCTTCCGGTTGGCACACTGGGTTTCTTAAGATGGGACAACTCCTCCTTCCATCTCTACAAGAAAGTTAAAGAGGCGTTATCGACTGCTTTCCTGAGCTGCTTGTTGGTGTGGGAAAGATACAGAGAGTAGTTGAGAATATCAAGCTGTTTTACTTAGATACGAGTGCTTGTTTGAATAAATAAAGACATCCGTCTCCTCTAAGCTTCAAAAGGAAAAGAAGATAGATCTGAACAGTGATTATTTTTGACAGCTAGGCTACAGAGCTCAGACTAATGGAGCAAGTGTCTGTGGTACTTCCTATAAAACACATTATTATCACTCACGAATACACTGGAAAGCACTCGTTGTTAAATAGGTAACACTTGATTTAGGAAAACAATGTGTGGCCTATTGAACAACTCACTCTGTATAAAGAATAATAATAACAGTGGGTGTCAGGATGTTTTTCTAAGGAAGGGTGCAGTATCCCATGTGCGCCTTTAACTGTCTCCATGCTCGCTAGGAACCTGCTGGAGTGTAAACCGGTGCACGCCCCAGCAGCGTGCTGTCAAGCTCTGACTGCGCATAATAACACGGGAGCGACACAAAACAACTACACAGTAAAAAGAACACAGGTTACACAATTCTCTAACATATCGGTGTTATGTTATTCGGCATAAGAAGTGACCACAGGCTACTTACCAAATTGCCACTTCCTATAGATTTGCTCTTGAGAGTGGGGTGGCTGGCGAACGTGGAAATTGAAGGGAGAATACCTCCTAAAGCCATCTCGACGTCATTTGCAGGCTGCCTGAAATAAAAGAGAATATATTGTAAATCCTTGCGGAGAGATCTTGGAACAGTGAGTAGTCCACAGGTAGATGTGCATGAAAAGTTTCTCAGGTCCACACCTCATCAATGAGAATCGGTATGCGGAGTCCTCTCGGCGGATCTTCGCTGAACTGGGTTCAAGATCCCGGGTTTAAAGTTTCTGCTCCGCGTTATACTATATTCCAGGACATGCTGCCGCTGCAGGGCGCGCCGGGGAGAAGCAGACACACCGAGCGTTTTTTAAACACTAACAGATATTTGGTAAGGGAAGACAGAGAGGCGACGTACGGGGGAACCCCTTGCGCCTGTTGCCATGCAGGGACCGGCGGCCTGAACTGAGGAAGCCGCGCTAGATGTATCCTTAATAAACTGGAGCAGGATGGTAGACCACGCCCTCGTTGCTTGGATACAAAACATTAGCGCAAGGCAGAGAGCACGTGGGGGAGGCAGGGGTGAGCGGGGAGGAGAGGGAGGAGAGAGAGGGTTGTTTGTAGCCTATTCATAGCAACGGCACCTATCCTTATTCTGTGATCCCTGAGAAAATGTAGGTGAAGAAGCGCATATTTCTCATACATGAGGATAAGAGTGATCACTATTTTCATAAAGTTAGGAGGGTCACGTGCAGGCATGGCGACATCTGGGTGGTCAAACATGTTAGCCATCTGCCTAAAAATAATAATAGGCTCATATTAATTAAATATATCTTAATTAAATACAACTTTGTCATTCATGCTCCACGTCTTTGTTGTGACAATAGACAAGTGCAATGATTTTACCAAAGGTAATCATGCAAAGTATTGTGGGTAGAAGTTGGGTTATCATTACACCACTGGATTGCAATATGTTTCCACCCCCATAGCACAGATGTAAGCACAGTTTGCAAAGCAAGATAATAGTGTTTTAATGTTTATCCTTATATTATTTATTTTTTACTTTTTTAAAGCTGTTAGCACAATAAGCCTATATCTCCACATTATACATGTAGTTATTTAGGCAAACTATTATGCAAACATAAATAATGCATAGCTAGCATTCTCAAAGATAATCTAGTCTTAAAAAAACATTTTTTAATCAGACTAATGCCATTTATAAATATTGATAGGTCTAAACATAATAATTAATACCTATGGTGGCAGTGCGTCTTTCTTGCGTTGACAATTATTGAATTGCAAACAACCCTAACTAATTGTATTTCAATTATATTATTTGCAAATCCCACTCTTGCCTACTTAAAAAAAAAAAAAGAAGCCCCAAGAGAAAAAAACCCTCAATTGTAATGGACATTATGTAAGGGAAAATAACAGCCTTACCTTACCTGGGAACATATTTCCTGAGAACTGTTCTCTGTTTGAATGGAGTCCAGGCAGTGTTTGCTCAGAGCTCACGAGCTAACACAAACCTCTCTCTCTCCAACATAATTAGACACATTGACTCAAGTGTTCAGTGCAAGAGCAAACAAAGGGCCAGCCACTGATCCTGCTGCATCAGGATCTTGTCCGTTAGGCATGTCAACAAACATGCCGTCACTTCAACAGGACACAGTTACTGTCAGTGTATGTTGGTGTCTTCATTCAAAGGTTTGTAGGCATGAATGCTTTTGTCTTTAGTCCGCAAACAAAAGCTGGTGGGAAAAAAAAATTGAACTTGGTCATTAAAAAGTAAATCCTGTTGGGAAACTCATTATAAATGTTTGTTTTATTGACAGTAAGATTTGATCCAGCGGATTTTCAAACAGTAATATGAGCATCTTCTGCAATTTATTCAAATCGTGTGGTTAGATGTGTTGGCCTTACACCTACAATGTTTGAACAACATGTCTTGTTTTTGAAGACCTGCTTCCTACAGCAGGTAGAAACACAATGGCAGCCATGTCATTATAGCCATATTCTTTATGGTGGGAGATAATGGTTTTGAAAATGATCCTGAAAACAAAGGTTTGACTTTGACTACTGACTTGCTTTGTATCGCAATAATGAAAGAGAGATGAGGAATAGAGAAAAGAGATAAAGGAAGAGAAAAATGACACCACTGGTTGCTTTTCCTGGCAGAATGAAGTCATGGTAATTTAGTAACTCACACCAAACCCTTGTGTGGGATATGGTAATGCAACATTTATTTACAGTATATATAGTGCCGAAAATATAAAAACCTGCCCACATAATGAATCATTCTTAAACGTCACACAATTCCACATATTGACATTATGTTAACGCCATTGGTGAGATAACTGCAAGATTGGGATGTGGAGAGATTGATGTAATGTTATCGTAAAAACAAGGATAAATGATGAGTACTAACTCGATACTTAGATCACATTTTCCTCTCATTCATGTCCTGATAAAGTTGTTCCTCAGTTTGGATCAAGTGTGGATGTCATGACACTTTCTCCAGGAGGAAGCATCTTCTGTAATAAGTCACTACTCAGGTGTTGTTCTTGGCCGTGCTGACAGCTTAGACATTTAATATTTAAAAAACGTCACTGTGCAGCTGACATGATCTGTGGTTAAGCTATTCAGAAAGCTAATAATCAAATCAAGATCAAACGGCACGTAATGAAGTCCCACAGTTGTGAAATTGATGTATTATGTAAATAGAGTTAGTCAAATAACTCCACGGCTGAGCTCTTGAGTTCTTTTTGGCTTCCACTCCACTTTGCCTGTATGTGATTGACACGGTTTTTGCTGGAGTCCCTCAGATAAGTTCCCCCTCTGGGAAAGCACCCACGTGAATATGAGTACCAGCGGATCATAACTCCAGATATTGAGGTTTTCACTGCTCTCTTCCAGATGCTGATCAGTAATTAAAAAATAGCTTTCATTCTTTCCTTAATTCTTGAGAGCTGAGTCAAGCTTTTTTGATTTCTCTTGCTGCACTTCCCTCCACTCCAACTCACATTATCTGTAATGCAATTATATATGTAGGAACTTTCTGTCATTTCAAAGCCAAGGGACCTTTGAACAGGTCAGGCAACAAGGAGCCGACTACAGATCTAACTGCGATAATCCTTTCCTCTGGTACTGTTTTTTTCTTTTGGTTCAGAGATTTCAAAGTCAATAAAATACAATTAAAACAGTAATATAAAATGGCAAATAGCAGTCTTTTAACCGATTTGAGAAAATGGAAACAGTGAATGTCAGAAAAAATCAGACTAAAATGACGATCTAAATAGTTGTATATTTATTTGATCAGCTCTTATAACTACAATATGGTAAGATTTCAGTCAAGCGGTAATTGTTTTGTTTTGCAATGACTTCACATCTGTAAACCTTTTTTTTCCGGCCTATAATAATCTAAATTGCTATGTGATCTGAAAACACATGATGGATCCAGGCCTGGAGTTCAGCTTCACCGTTTGTAGGCCCGAAGAGTTCCCCACACCTGTTACTGTGGTCCAGACATCCACCAGCAAGTGGAACATTGTATATAAACCATCACAGTTAAAAAATTAGCTCTGGTCAGCTTCATGACAAAATAGTTCTGTATTTGTTTTCCAAAGCTCCTATGCTAACAGACGGGTCTGGTTGACAGTTGTGCTGTGTGATGGTATGCATATGGATGAGGTTTGAGTCAGTGGGGGTTGTTTGTTTGGACAGTCCCAGCCAAGCCTCTGAAGCTGGACAGAGCTGCGGTCAGGCTGGGACGCAACCGACCAACCAACACTGGGCTTTCATCACGTCCTATAATTTTGTGGTGGGCTTCCACAGGCATTAGAAAATGTGGTTGAGGTATGGGGTGGTGGTCGTGGTCATGTAGCAGGGTTTAAAACGGGTTAGGAAGAGGAAGCAGCGAGAGCGAGAAGTCAGCGAGAAACACACTGTGAGGGAGGAGAGCTCCTGCCGGGCGGCAGGCTGTCCAGCCTCTGCCTGCCCTGGGATTCCTCGGCAGCCTTAAATATGCCAGTTATTTTTAACCAGCGACGTAACAGAGCCCAGCGCCGGCCCACTCTGTTACAATATTTCCTTTCTGTCAGGAGGGGAAGTGGAGGGGAGCCACACTTCCTGGTCACATGATGTAGCTCAAGGAGACATACAGCAGGGGAAGTGGGGAAGATCGAATGAGGGGAGTGGAGGGAGCTTGGTTGGCTGCCTCATACCCACACCAGCCCACACTTTCACTCAGCACCGCCTTCCCCCAAAGCTTCAGCCCCTCAGCTGGCCAGAAGAGGCAGTCTGTTTTAATCAGATGCTCAGACGTCAGAGGCAAAACGACCAGGGCAGAGATTGGTGTTCGTGGGCTGCGGAGGAAATGAGAGTGTGGGTACGGCACATCGGCAGACAGAGGGGGGAAGGCCCTGTGACGTCAGAACCACGTACCAGCCAGGATTAGAAGCCTCTAAAAAGAAAAGGCCTAGGACTGGGCTCCCAGAGCTGGAGAAAATGTGTTTCTGTCTGTCTGACATGGGAGAATCAGGGACTTCCCATGAGCTCACCTTGTTGACACACAGAGAACTTGGCCTGGTCCGTGTCTCAATCTGCACCCACCTCACAACCAGCTAAATTACTACCAGCCTCACCTCGTACACTGTAATGTTTGACAGATTTGTTTTGCTTCAAGTTCATAGTGGACACATGTCAGTTAAATAGAAGAGCATGAAGAATATGTCAGCCTCGATTTAGCTTAAATACACATGAAACCATTGGATGTTTGTCTCATGAGCACTTACTAAAAATGTCATATATGGTATGTTTGCAATCTCTTACAGTCTTCTTTTAAACTTTGAAAAATGGTTGTGTATCCTTTGCAGTTTTGAAAAATTCGGGATTCTTTCGTGGCAATAAAAAACACTAACATTGTTTATTTCATGGAGTTCTGTGTCAGTGCTATATTAAGCAGGATTAAAATGTTGCGATAGTTTAGATCTTTGAGCCCTATGATGAAATAAAGTGAAAATCAAGGGAAACTCTTTCATATTCAATCTGTGAGATGTCACGCTGAAACATAATGCTATTGAAATAACCTCAAACTTATTTGTGAACAGGCTTTAAGGATAGAAAAATAATGAAAAGATTGTGAATTCCAGTAATCCTGGATTTAAAATGCTTGAGCTGAGCATTAAGTTACTGAACCCCTCAACCTTTTTTTCAGTATTTATACTTATTGTTTTATTTGAAAGTGACTCACAGCCCAAACAAAGCAGTGTCCTTAATAAAAGACATAATGTGAGTACTATTTATCTACAGGGTGTAGACAACATAATGTAAACATGGAAAAGAACTTCCTGCGATACTTTGATCATATTTACATGGCGGCTTCAAAATTGAGTCATCTAAGGTTAACTGTAAGTCAGCGTCTGTCTGCTTTAAAAGAGATCTAGAAATCAGCTCTTTGATATTT